TTTTAAAATAAACTAAGGTCTCTATAATGAAAACTTTAAATCTCTGAAGAAAGAGATTGAAGAAGACACTAGAAGATGCTTATGGATTGGTAGAATTAATATTGTGAAAATGACCATCCTACCAAAAGCAATTTTATAGATTCAGTGTAATTCCAATCAAATTACATCTAGCTTTGGTATGCACGTTGTGGGGGGTGGAACACAGGTCTTATGCTTGTGCAACAAGGACTTTATGGACTGGACTGAATTATCTTCAGAGCCCTATCTAATGTTTTTATTGTTTTGTTTTTATGTAAGTGGAAGTGGCTGTGTAAAGTGTGACTATACATCTGACGTTGTGATTGATTCACTAATTTAAATACTTCACATCAGAAACAGGGTGGGAAAGCATTCTTATTCTTAAATCAATTTCTGCTAAACTTAGTAGAGACAGACCCTTAGATAATAACTTGATAACTCACCTCAAATTTGAATTATAAACATTTTTTAAAGTTATAGTGAATTCTTAGCTAAACATGAAGCTCCTTTCACTGTTATTTAACCTAAAATATTTACAATGCAAAATACATTCTGAAGGAATCATATTTGTGAACTGACTCACATTCACAGATAACTTCAGTATCTTTAATACAGATTTGGGAAGTAATCAGAAAGAAAATTTAAGAATGAAATTATTATTCAGTTATGTATAAGGTTTTCTCTTTATGCAACAGTAGTGATAAATACTCTATGGCCTCTCTGCTCCACTTTTAGCATGAATATCACAGAGCCTCTTGAAGCTGACAGATACTGATAGCAGTGCAACAGCTTGCTCCAGAGCTGATACAATGCTCCAGCTTGATGAGGAGGGAGTAACATAGACTAAAAAGACCTAGCTGGGATCTGTACTCAGATGGAGACTTATATAGATTTGGTTATGTTTCTTTCTATTTCTGATCCTTTATGATTAACCAAAAATACCAAGAAAGAAGATGCAGGTGGAGTTTGATAGATGACCTTAAAATTTTAAGACATTTTTCCATTCATGATGTGGAACACTGTTTCTTGTCTTCTCTGTAAATGGGGGTTCTGAGTTCCACCTTGAGAGTGGTTACAAAGGGCTGTGGTTGTGCACAGAGAGGATGAGCAGAGACCTGAAATAGGAAGTCCACTCCTCTCCTCCAGCAGTGACAGCTGAAACGCATGGGTCCTGGTATGTTTTCCTTCTGAATACGGATGCTGCAGTGAATTCTTTAGATTGTTGCAGACTAACATCCACAACTGATGGAGTGGACATAGAATATAAAAACCTGACATGGGGCCAGGTACACACACTTTTTTTTTTTCGTCTTTTTGAGACAGCACACTTTGTAGATGAGGCTAGCCTTGAACTCACAGAGATCCACCTGCCTCTGCCTCCCAAGTGCTAGAATTAAAGGCATGGACCACCACACACTTTTAATGCCAACACTTGGGATGTAGAGGCAGGCAGATGTCTGTGGGATTGAGGCCAACCTGGACTATATAGCAAGTTCCAGACCATACTATCCCTGTAATAGGAAGTCATTAATACACACACACACACACACACACACACACACACACACACACACTCTCCACTCCCTCTGTAATTTGTTGTTTAACCTCCCTAAGTTACTGTAACAGTTCTATAATCTTGGCAAATATTCGTATGTAACATAGACAGGATTTCCCTTGTATTTGAATCTGTGTCACATGAAAAGTTCTTTTACAGAATTACATTTTCCCCCTGGTTACTTATACGTCCATCTTTCGAAATCTGAAAAGTGACAAATGCGTTTTATTTTATTTCAGTTCTTGATAAAGAAGGATCTTTAACCTATGTAAAGTGAGGCGAAAACGGACCTTTAAATTGTTTCACACTTACTGTTTTTTTTCCTTAGAATGTTTGTGGAACTGTAACACCAAATGAATACTACCAGGAAAAGATAGTTGGGCTTTGGTATTTTCAAAGAACGTAGGTATCTTTCAACTAGAAAAACTGTCTTCTGTCCCCTTAAGTAACTTTTCCTACATCCTATTGCCTGTTACTATATAAGTACTGTATTATATTCTTTTAGTGTGTATTTAAATACTTTGCTTAAAACAGAAAACTAGGGGATAGATGACTCAGCAGTTGAAAGCGCTTGCTGCTCTTCCAGAGCACTTGAATTCATTCCCCAGCACCCTCATTGGGCAACTCACACCCACTTAGAACTTCAGCTTCAGGGGATTCAAAGTTGTAGCATATACATGAGTATACTCTCTGTATATTTTGTTTCTGTCTCTCTGTCTCTGTCTCTGTCTCTGTCTCTCTCTCTCTCTCTCTCTCTCTCTCTCTCTCTCACACACACCACACACACAACACACAGAGTACAAAACATAAAAATAAATCTTTAAAAAAACCAGGTAGCTATAATTGAGTATTATATTACATTTTCATAATATAACTATTTTCTCTCTTTCTCTATCTGCCTCCCCCCTCCCTCCCTCCCTCCTTCCTTCTTCCTTCTCTCTTCCTCTCTTTCTCTTTGGTTTGTTTGTTTTGGTTTTTGAGACAGGCTCTTCTTCTAGCCCCAGCTGGCCTGGAACTTGATAGGCAGACCAGGCTGGCCTCAGTCTCACAGAAGTCTGCCTGCCTCTGCCTCTAGAGGGCTCAGATTAAAGGAATGTGCCACCACACCCAACACAACACAGCTATTTTCATCACACCTAAACAATTGTTTAAGGGGTTGGGAACTAAAAGTTGATGCTCTCTTAACTGTAAGTATAACGGTTTTCCAAACCAAATTCTGAACTTCAAATGGGCCTAAAAATCTGTAAGGTGTAGTGGCACATGCCTACAACCTCTGTGTTTGGGCACAAAGGCAGGCAGCTCCTGTGGGCTTGCTGGCCAGGCAGTCTAGCCAAATCAGCGAGTTCCAGGTTTAGCAAGAGACCCTATCTCAAAAACTAAGGTGGAAAAACAATTAAAGAAGTCCTCTGGGGCATGGAGACATGGCTCAGCAGTTAAGAACACTGACTACTCTTGCAGAGGGCCCAAGTTTGGTTCCAGGCACCCACGTGATGGCTAGCTGTAACTGGTTCTAGAGGAATCCAGCGCCCTCTTCTTGCCTCTACAGGACTGCATGCAAGGGTGCAATTGCACACAGGCAAAACACTAAAAATGAAATCATTTTTTAAAAGAAGACCTCTAGCTTCCACACAAAGGCATATGCACCTTCACACGTGTATACACATTACACACACACACAGACACACACGCACACACAGAATGCTTGAAGGCACTGACCGTTTTGTAGTTGGTTTTACAACTCTGTTGTAATAGCATCAACAGAAAGCTCTGTTAAAATTTGAGGCTTATTTATAAATACCACCCCTATATACTATCCACTTAGTAATTTTAGTTATTCTTAATCCATCTGCTTAACTCAAATGATAGATTATTCAATTTGTTTAAGCTATGCTTCTAATTTTTCATTTTTGAAAAATGATGCTTTATAATGAAATAGTTTAAATCTTAAAATTATAAGTCAAATTACATTACCACTTTGAATTCCTTGTTAATTATTCTCTACAAATATATCCGACATGCCTTAATTATGGGAGCTAGTCCTTTTAGTAGATGATACAGTCACACTGAGGCTGGGGGGGGGCACTATGGCGGGGGGGGGGGCGGGTGCAGCTGGCTGATGGTGACTGCTGAATGGAGGTAGGATGCTCTCTGAAACTGCTCCCGGTGGGGGTGTAGCAGTGCAAACCACAGTTCCAACCTGTGGCCTCAGCTGGCAATATTAGTGGTTGCTTCATGATCCTGAGGAAATACTGATTTTGGAAAAGTTGCTGGGTTTAGATGGAACTCTTTTCTTCCTAGGTCAAGAAGTATTTTGCTTGGATTTAAAGAGATTGAAGAACCCAAACAATTGTGAATATTTTAGAGGGCAGTATGTACCTCTGATAAACATTATGTGAGATTTGGAAATGTATGAGTCAATTCTTGGGCAAAACATGAGTGGTTTGACTCATAGCTTTTCTTTCTGGAAGGATGAACCTTTGTCGTTCCCCTGACCGTGGGGTGTTCCGTTAGTTAGAACTCCTGCTCTGTTGCTTTCATCTTGTGTCTTGGTGATGGCCTGTGGAACAGATTTTGGTTAAAGTAAAGGCTAGCATGTGGATTCATGGTCTCCTTACATGGTAGAATTGATGGCACCTGCTTCACCACTCCACCAATCCCAGGCCCCCTGTACCACCTGTGCCCTGTCTGGTGCTGTTTTAATGCAGCAGAGCAATAGCTGGAGAGCTCACCAAGCTTTAAACTACAGAGTTTGGTGTACTTTAGTGTGGGGTTGGGCTCAGAGGCCTTCAGAATTCAAAGGCTAGTGTCAGAGAGGCATTGCTCACCTGGAAAAGAGTGGATTCTTGAGTTGTTTTCTGGAGAGACATCCAGGACCATGGTCATTGCCTGCAATCCTTGATAAGGTCTGAAATGTGCTCCTCAGCTTGGGAGACTCTTGCCATTCCTACTGCAAGGTATGGACTGTTTGTGGTTTACTTGTTGCAGTTTCCCATTTCTGGTGTGGGGAACCCTGGCCAAGACACCTTGGTGAGTTTGATCAAGAATGGTAATGGCTGTTTTCCCAAGAGGAACATGGGCAGAAGTGGTGGTGTTTCCAGTCAATCAGGAGGGATAGACACTTCCTTATAAAGCTTCCTTATAACATAAAGCAAAAGTTGTCTTTATAGTGCTTCAATCTTAAGGAAATATAAACTTACAAATGATCGCCTGATTTGCAAATTGCTGAGTGCAAAGACGAGTTTTGAACTCTGTCATTCATCTTAAATCCAAGAAGTCTTTGGGCGCAATGATGGTTATTGTACCAGAATGTTGTTTCTATATACCGGCCCATCTCATCCAGTGCAGTGCCACTTGAATTAGAACATGGCTGGTTGTAGTAGCGGCGATTTTATCTTTCTTGACTTTGTTTACCTTTTGCACCTTTCAGGTACAACTGTGCCAGCTCACAGAGCCATCTTGGTGGCTCGATGTGAAGTGATGGCTGCCATGTTTAATGGTAATTATATGGAAGCAAAGAGTGTCCTGATTCCAGTTTATGGTGTTTCCAAAGAGACTTTCTTGTCATTTTTAGAATATTTATACACAGACTCCTGTTGCCCAGGTGAGCAGTATGCATGCTGTGAGATAATATCTCACTATTCATTTTTGTCACTCATTTTGATAAATTGCTTTCTATGAAATCTGTTTTAAGGTCTATCAGAGCTGGCTAAGCAGTTGGAGGTGATATTGGGACAACATTGTGTTTTCAGTTAGTCAAGTGGCAGAGCAATGATTAGGGGCCTTTTATGTACTGCTAGACTCTGGTATAAACTCACATGTCCCAGCCAGCACTCACAATCAGTCACCCTAGGCATCTAGAAAGAGGTGTTTGGGGTACCCAGTGGCTGCTCTGTCTCATTTTAGAGGTTGGGGAGAGGTTGCTTCTTCTACAAGAAAAAGGGCTAGACAAAGGCCTTCATGGTCCTGACATCTAATTGAAATATTTTTCAGGACTTTTACTATTGTGAGAGTCCTATGATCTTTCTGGCTCAGAGGATGGGGATTTTTAAAGTCTGCTTCAGATTTCTAAAGTCAGACTCTCCTAAATTTGGCTGCTCTGAAGATGTTCCTTCAGATGTTTAGGATGCTCTGTGGACTATGGGATTTGTTTCTGAACAAAGGCTATCTTTGACCAGGAACCAACCATCTATAGTAGCTACAAGTCAGAACAGATTTTGCAAGATCCCTGTTGCTTAAAGCACCTTGGAGAAATAGCACAATCCTTTCAATAGTCCCAGAACCTTGCAGTGCAGGCACAGAAGCCTCTTTGGTGTTCTTCACCCTTTGGCCACCTGATGGCTCCCTCCACAGACAGCTAGAATGAGCTCCCACATGCCTCCTGTCCTAGAGGATGAGGCCTTGCTTACAAACACCGCCCTCCCCTCCCCCGCCCACACACCCCTGGCAGGAACCCTACAGATAGAATAATTTAACACACATTTAAGACTTGCAGCTTTAATTTTTAGGCCAAGGAAGATTTTGTTTGTTGTTGAAATAAGTTTTAAACAAGTCATGGGTCCTCTTTGAAAAATTTTAGAGGTTCCAAAAGAGAGATTTCCTTTCGTAATTAAATTAACTTGGTTTTCCGTCTAGCTGTACAGTATTTTGGAGCTGGTTGTTACCACCAGTGTTAAGGATTGGCTTATTATTTTTGCTTAAAAGTGAAAGCAGTGGTTCTTACTGGAAATAAATCTTACTGTTTATTTTCTCAATTTTGGGAAATTTGAATATTAGATAAAATTTTTCACCGTTGATCAGGAGAAAATGAAAAGCAATGATAACTGTATGGCATAACACTTTAAAAATTATTGAAAGGGGTGTTGGTGGGGATTAATCAAAATGAACAATTGAAGTTAAACCAAAGATTAGATTGTGTATGTGTGTGTGTGTATGTGTGTGTGTACATTTTTTTTTAAATCGGGAGAATTGGAGACAGTCTATTTATTAGGTTAAATATTACCATATACAGTGTTCTTAGTGTTATAGCTACAAAAGAATGTAAGGAATGTAAGTGTAGGAAACAGGCACATATAAATAATGCTCAAATTTTAAAAAGCAAAGCAAAACTAATATTGGCATTAGCATGTATCAAGGTAGTGTGTCCCGACTACATTGGTAATGGTTGTATTTTTTACAGTGGCACACTCGAGTTTTAAGAATAAATCCAGTTTCATTTTTCACTGTTTTAGAAAAATCCTATTCACAATGAAAATGGTAAATGTGCTGTTCTGCTTTCATTGCTGCTGCTGTGATAAAATACCCTGAAAACAGCAGCTTAAGGAGAAAGGGCTGATTTCAGCTCACAATTCCAGGGTATAGCCTACTGTTTTAGGGAAATCAAGGTGGCAGGGGCTGGTAGCAGCTGGTCACATCACATCCATAGCCAAGAGCAGAGAGAGAAATGTGTTCATGCTTAGTGCTCACCTCATGTTTTCCACTCTTAAACCACCCAGGCCCCAAACCCAGGGAACGATGCTGCCCACAAGGGTTGTCCTATCATCACAAAGCAATCAAGAAGGTCCCCTATACATGCCCACAGACCAGCCTGATTAGACAATCCTTCATTGAGGCTCTCATTCCAGGTGATTCTAGATTGTGTAAAGTTGACAATTAAAACTAACCATCACAATTGGTAGATCTAAAAAGACAAGAGAATTATAGGAAAAAAAAACAGACTTAAAGAGAATTTGTTTATTGTAGTGCTAGAAACCAAACTCAGAGCCTTGTATATACTAGACACGCACTCTACAACTAAGTATAGCCACAGGCCTAAACCTAGTAACAAAACTAACTGTATGGTTTCCAGAGATGGGGAAGTGGGGGTGGGGGTGGGGAGCTACTGTTTTATTGGTACAGAGTTTCAGTCTGGGAAGATGAATAATGTTCTGGAGGTAGCTGGGGGTGATAGGTACAGAACAGTATGATGGTGCTTCATGCCACTGAACGAAATACTTAAAGTGTTTAAAATGGTAGCCAGGGAAATGGCCCAGGCCATTGATCCCTAGGACACACATGGTAGAAGGAGAGAACTGACTTCTGAAAGCTGTCCTCTGACCTATGAGTGTTCCCCAGCACACACTAAATACATAAATGTAGTTTTACTTTTTTAAATACTTTATTTTTGTTTTATGTTTATGAGTGTTTTGCCTGCCTTATATGTAAGTGCACACATGTCATACAGTGCCCATGGAGGTCAGAAGAGGGTGCTAGATCCCCTGAAACTGGAGTTATGGATGATTGATAACCACCATGTGGGTGCTGGGATCTGAACCTGGGTCCTCTGCAAGAGCAGCCAGTATTCTTAACCACTGAGCTGTCTCTCCAGCCCTTATTTTTTAATTAAAAAAAAAAAAAATTATGTGCTCTAGTTCCCTGAGCACAAGGGACTAGAGACAAGGAATCCCAGAGCAAGCTGGCCAGCCAGACTAGCTAAAGCAGTGAGCTCCAGGCTCGGTGGAAAGACCCTGCCTCAGTAAATAAGGCAGAGAGTGGTAGATGACACCAACATCAACCTTGGGCCTACACACACACACACACACACACACTCACTCACTCACTCACTCACAACTACATCTACATATACCAAAAAAGTTTAAAATGGCAAGTTTGATGTTCATTTTACCATAATAAAGACAGCAAGCCTAGGGACTAAAGCCAAGGAAAAAGATGAGAGTACAAGAGACGTAGCTCAATTGGTGAGTGCTTGCCCAGACTACAGAAAGCCTGGGTTTGATCCCCAACATTACATTAAAAAGGGCATGGTGGCACATGCCTGTGGTTCCAGTACTGAGGACACAGAGGCAGGAGATCAGAAGTTCAAGGCCATCCTTAAGTATCTAAGAAGTTTGAGGCCGGCCTGTGATATGTAAAACCCTGTTGAAAGAGAGGAAGAGGAAAAGGGAGGGGAGAGGAGTGGGGTGAGGGAAGAAAAGAGAAAGGGAAATTAGGAGGATGTAATTTAGCTAACAGATTTAGCTGATTGCTAACCCTAAATTGATGACCAAGAGCACTTTTTGGATCTCCTTGTCTGGAGAAGTGGAGGACGGGATTTTGAGAACTCAGAAAGCTTAAATGGTTTCTTTGCAAAATGGAGCATTAGTTGGGAATGCTAACTTGGGGCTTTTCTTGGGAATTCTAATCCACACTGAATGATACTTTCACTGTCGTGTGTGTGTTTTCTCTTTGAGGTCATAAAAGGAGGAGTCTAAGCATCCATTTTCTCTCATTTCTCTCCTCACCAGCTGGCATTTTCCAGGCCATGTGTCTCCTGATCTGTGCGGAGATGTACCAAGTCTCCAGACTGCAGCACATCTGTGAGTTATTCATCATCACACAGCTACAGAGCATGCCAAGCAGGGAACTGGCCTCCATGAACCTTGACATCGTTGACCTACTCAAAAAGGCCAAGGTAGTAGGCCCTGTGTGTAGTAGGCTCTTTGTGTCTGGTTCTTTGATTAGAAAATACATATAGCTAGGCATGGTGGTGCACGCCTTTAATCCCAGCACTGGAGAGGCAGAGGCAGGAGGATCTCTGTGAGATCAAGTCCAGCCTGGTCTTCATAGTAAGTTCCAGACCAGCTGCAGCTACAGGGAAACCCTGTCTAAAAATAGAGAACATATACTAAGACTAGAAAGATTGTTCAGCTAGAAGCAGTTCCTGAGGATCCCAGTTCTGTTCCCAGCACCCACGTCAGGTAGCTCACAGCCACCTGAACTCCAGCGCCAGATAATACAAAAGCCTCTCCCGGCCTCTGGCAGCACCTTCACGCACGTGCCATATTCACACAGGCAGACACATAGACATAAATAAAAATAAAATATTTTTTAAAAATATATATCTTAATTTTTGTTTTTAAGAGACATAGTAAAACTAACATTCATTTGTAAGCTTGACTAAATGAGGCTAAAGTATCTTCACAGCGGTTTTTGTGGTTAAGTAATTTTGAAACCATTAGGTTAGAGTGTATCTCCATATGATTTTTTTGATAGTGGTCTTTAGCAGAATCATTTGATTATAGCTATGCTGTGCACATATGCAGTACAGAAAAGATAAAGGCATTAAAACTATAAACCAAATGCTGTAAAACTCTAGAGCCATCAGATATGTTAAAAGTACCTAGGAACTCAAAATATAAGTGAGAAACAAAGTTTATACACTAAAGCAGCTAAGTATTACTGTATACACTATAAGTAAGAATGTGGGTTTAAAACTGAACCTGACAGTAAATACAGTGTCATAGGCAACATTGAAGTTTGGTTATATGGGGCTTAATTGAGAGCTGGGACAAAGAATCCTCAACCAAAGCCTAAGGGAAGAGGGTTAAGGGGAGTTACTGTTTAATAGGTGCAAGTTTCAGTCTTCGATGATGGGATCATTCAGCAAATAGATAATGGTATTGGCTGTAAAACCATGTGAATATACTTAGCGTCACTGAACTGTCCACTTCTTGATGGTTAATATGGTCAGTCTATGCATGTTGTACTGCAATGACAATAATAAAGAATATACTTGTACCAAAGTCACCTGCCATCAAGTCACTTTAATCTAAATTGGTGGTTGGCTAGACCAGTGCCTATCATTGGATTGGCCCCAAGGTGATTATGTCAGGTACCACATTTCTCTGAGTCTCCCTCAATTAGCAGTTCTTAAAACTCAGAAGTAGGAGAATTGTACAGAAAATCCAGCTCAGTGTAGCAGTGATCCACTGAAAGCTATTCAGACCTAACCCTCATAAAAGTGTTTACATATGGAAACCCCTCTCTTGAGCTGATGGCATTTTCCTGCTTGAAATGATTTTTTAATTTGCTCTTCAGAAGAACTTGCTGGCATATTGCTCACCATAATCTTCTGCCACACAGATATGACTATAACCAGTGAAGTCCATGACCGGATATTAAAAGTTTAAATTAAAGCATCAAGAACATGCGTGTTCATTAGGCACAGGTGCAGCCGTGTCTCTGCTTAAAGACTGGTTGCTCTGGCTAGTAGCTTATTCTGTTAACTTGGCTGCTTTGCTGAGTCATCTGACTTCATCAGTGTTTGCTAGTGGGGCTCCCCTTTCCTTTCTGTGGCCACAGTTGCGGAACACCACATCGCTCACAGGTGCATACAGGTAGATGTGGGCTCTCTGTGATTTCTCCCGACCGTTGTCTCAATCTGACCTGCACAGTCGGGGTACAACATTGTTTCCATTTTCATTTTCTTGTAGTTTCACCACTCTGACTGCCTTTCGACCTGGCTGCTTCACTTTATCGCCACCAACTACCTCATATTCAGTCAAAAGCCTGAATTTCAAGACCTTTCAGGTAGATTGCTAATTTCTTCTTTGAAAAGAATTATGATTTTTGAGGTTTTTTTTGTATAAGTAATAAAAACAATCACTTTAACATAAGAATAGTTAATGTAATATGTTTCTTTTCAGTTATGCAATGTGATAATTAAGGGCACTTTAATTTGTGGTCACCTGTGTTACACAAGAAGTTTTCTAATGATTATTTTATAGTTCTCATTCATTTTTAAATGTGTTTTTTTCCAGAAGAGAGATAAAAGGTAGTGAAAAATGTTCTCAGGAACCGCTTGGCTGTGATAAATGAGGCCTTAGTTTTAGCTACCTATGTAAGTCAGGAGCAAAATGTAAACTGTATATTTAAACTTTTTTCTTGCACAGAAACTTAACTATTGTTTATTATTTATAACATGTAGTCTTTAATACTATATACTTTATATTTTCATAAGAGTGTGTTATATTACTTTGGAATTTTTTAAAAATATTTTATTTATTATTTTTATTTTATGTGTATGAGTGTATATGCCTGCGTGTATGTAAGTGCACCCGTGTTGTCCAGTGCCTGTGGAGGTTAGAAGAGGGTGTCAGATCCCCTGGAACTGGAATGATGAAGGCTGTTAACCGCCATGTGGGTGCTGGGAATCAAGCTCGGGTCTTCCCCAAGAGCAGCTAGTGTTCTTCACCACTGAACCATCTCTCCAGCCTCCTACTTTGGAATTTTTTGTTGGTCAAATATTATGAAACTTGATGATCAGAAAATATATGTACCGTGACTTCGAAGGTAACTGATAAATATGGTGAAAAGCAATCAGCCAGGTATGGCAGTACATGCTTATAATCTCTGTATTTAGACAGCAGAGACAGAAGAATCAAAAGTTCATATCCACCTTCAACTACATAGCAAACAAGGAGAGGTGAGATTTCTAGAGCTGCATAATACGAAAGAAAATGAAAATGGAATATTTGTCAGAGGAGATAGACTGCTGGCATCGGGTCAAGGAAAGCATAAGCTAAACAAACAAGGAAATGAATGAATACATCATCGACTCTAGACAAAGAAATCTCCATGGAGATGTCTGAAGGTCTTTGAGGGTGGCTTCTAGAAGATAGGCAAAGGGGCTGGAGAGACAGCACAGTGGTTAAAAGCATTGGCTGCTCTTGAAGAGGATCTGGTTCAGTTCTAGTACCCACATGCAGCTAACAGCCACCAGTAACTCTAGTTCCAGTGGATCCCTCACCTCCATGGGTACCAGGCAGGCACATGGTATACATACATAAATGCAGGCAAACAGTCATATACCAAAATAAAAATAAATCTTTTTTTAAAAAAGTTAGCTGGGTTGAGGGGGTGGGATGGGCTAAGTAGAGAGTAAGTGAGGGAAAATGGAGGGAGGTAGAATAAGGGGAAGAGAAAGAAAAGACTAAAATCTGCAGCGTTCGGGCTCCTCCATTTCTCCTTCAGAGTGGCTCCACTTCAGCTGTTTTGTGTCTTAGTGTTGCACATAGAAGATGTGAAAAATCTCATGGCTGACTCTACTCTTCGTGCAGTCATAGAAACATGGAAACTTGGATTTAACAGATCGTTATTGGCAGATATGTATGTCTGTTGGCAACCAGTCTCCTATCATAGAGTTCTGCTGTTAAGGCAGTAGTATAATACAATCAATCAAAGTAAATAGCTGGGGATTTTTTTGTAAGAAAAAATCAAAGTTCATTCATAAAGATAAGGTATGCTTCTTCCTGCTACCATTTAATAGGGATTCTTACGAGGTGATTTTTTAAGAAATCAGTTAAAGATTCGCCACACTGTATTTATATCACAGCCGCTTTCACGATGCCACCTTAGATTCACCTTAATTTATAGGATAAGATTATTTTCTAATTGCTATTTTGTATGGATATTTATACATGGAGTACAGCCTTGGGAGAAAGGTGTTGCACAGATCACTTAGGTTATGCATTCTTGTTTCATTACTGATATGATTGCCTATAAAGTATGGGATGCCTAGCAGTGCACTGAAAAGTAGAACTGCAGGGCATCATCTGAGGGGCCACATAAGACTCTAATGCTATCCCAGCGATTGTGTTCCATCCTAGGATGGGAATTGATCATATCCTGAGAGCCAGTATCCAGATCGTCCTGTGGCCCCATTGCCTGGTCCCCCTTAGCAGAGGTAAAAGCTCTCTGGGTAAGGGAGACTTTAATTCTCTAAATCAGTAGTTACAAACTGGCAGCCTATGACCCCAGGCAGTCTCCAGGGTTTGTTTTTTATCACACTTTAAAAATTTTTTATTTTAATGAAGTCCTCTGATATTTAAATCTCCAGAGGAAAATCTGGAGGATTTGGATACCCTGGGGAAGCCTAGAGCTGGGCAGTGGCTGTCCACAAAATGGGAGATGCTCTCTGCAAAGGGCCAGTCATGTCTCCTCGGTGGCCTTTTCCCTGGTCTACTTTCACATGTTGCTTGAAGTTTGAAAAGTTCCTGTCATGATCACTTCACAGCTTTTTTTTTGTAGAGTTACCCATTTTCAGCTTTGGAAGTAATCAGTTTATTACTAGAATCCTATAAATTGTTTTCTCTGGACAGCAGTTTCTTTTTATTTATTTTTTTGAGGGTTTTGTTTGTCTTGTTTTGTTTTTGAGACTGGCTCTCACTGTGCAGCCATGACTGGCCTGGAACTCAACTGTTTAGACCAGGCTGGCCTGGAGCTCACAGAGATCCTCCTGCCTCTCTCTCCCAAGTACTGGGATTAAAGGCATGTATCATCAGGCCTGACTTATTTTTGGTTTGTTTTTTAAAAAAATAAAAAATAAACAAGAAAAGCAAAACAGGGCTGCAAGTAGGTCAGGCTAGCCTCACATTTCGCCGAGACCAGTACTAAACTCCTAATCCTCCTCCTCTGCCTCTCAAGTGCTAGGCTTAGAATTTTTCTTTTGTTGAGGTGTTTAGAAATCACAAATCGAGGCTGGAAAAGGTCTCATAGAATGACAGGCTTCAGAACCCAGATAAGTAGCTCATTCCATATTAGACCTGTACACACTAGAATTTTAGGAGAACAAACAGCAACTCATAGGAAAATGTGACCCTTTGTGTTTATGGATTCATTTTTCTCACATTTGGTTTAATTTAGCTCAGTATCATGTTAGGTTTCATGGAGTGTTTGTTTTGGTTTTGTTTTTGCTGGTTGGCAGAACTTATTCATCATCACTTTTCTCTGGAGTTCTGCTTATCCAAAAAAGCAATCTCAGGTTACCTTTGTTTTCTCATGAAAGAGAAAGAGAATAAATTTCCCTGAACAGGTAGCTTGTTTCTTCTCATCTAGGTTCTGTGATCAGGACCTTGTTAATCTACATGCCAGTAGGCAAGGTTAAACAGCAGGTAGAGAAGTGGGAACTGACTAAGCAAAAGGAAACTTAAGTGCGTATAGAAGGGAGGAGCAAGGTGACCCACCTGCAGGACCCCAAAACTCTTAGTGTCTCAGGGACCAGGTGTTTCCGAACCAGGTTGAAACTTGGGCCTCAACAGTGGAATTAGTTGAATGTTGATTAAGAAGCTTTGGCATACCTCCCTCCACTAAATGGCAGCCTTCACAGGAGATGGGAAGCTTATTTCTAGAGAAATCAAACCAAGAGTCAAGTTGTAGAATCATGGGCTCTGGATATAGCTGTGCTCAGGGAGTGAGGGACTGGATTGGAACACAGGGCGCAATGCAAGTGGTTACAGAGCATGCAATGCATGCTGGGGTCAGAGGAGCAAGCCTGGAAACCAAGAGGGTCCAGGGCCCTACAAGAAAACAGTCTCTGGAGCAGCAACAATAACATGAGGACTAAATAGGTTACCTGGTGACCGCAGCAGGATGAAAAATAGAGTCAGGAAGACTACAGAGTTTGAAAAGAGTGGGAAAAATGAGTCCATTAACTCTAGGAAAAGAAAAGGAAAGCAGTCAGATACTACTTGATAAAACAGTGGACAAGGTGTATATAATTGTAAATCATATAATAGCATAAATCCTGCTGACTCATTTTACCAGAATTCTATTAAATGATTCTGGAAGTCTGTGGGATGGGAAGCTTAATCTACCACAGAGATTAAGCACGTGTTACATAGGAAATCATTAGTTAATATCTCAACTTGATGTGAAATAAAATATATGCAATTAACTTTTCCCCCCTTAAAATTTTAGTGGAAGAACGCAGTTTTGTTGAGAAGCACAGATGGCCATCAAATATGTACTTGAAGCAGCTTGCAGAATACAGGAAGTATATTCATTCCCGGAAATGTCGTTGTTTAGTCATGTAACCTGGAGCTTTTGTGTGCATATGCTTTTATTTTATTGTGAAAAATGGGATACCTCTGGTTCCAGTAAAATTCTTACAACTAAAATCAGTATGGGTGTTAAAAGAAATCACCATACAGCTTTTTATTAGTTATCTTTGAAAAAATTACAGTGGTCTTAAAAGGGAACAAAGTACACTACAGATGTAACTAATGCCTCACCTAGAATATAAACCTTTTGGACTACTCTTTTCCCTTTCAGATGTCTTGTTGGTTTAGTGACAGTAAGACCTCATCCAGTGAATGCTCAATTTTTAAAAATCATATAGGATAAATACAAAAATTTTATCATGTTTGATGAGTTTCTCTATTAAATAAGGGACATTTATTTAAAGACCACATATAACTATTTCTACAGTGTGAAATTTAGGGGAGTACTAATTAACCCAACCTGAAATTGTAGGAATCTAAATTTGCCTGCCACTCCAAAAGTGACATGCCCATTGGTTCCAGATCAAGAAGTGTTTGAATCAATATCATGAAGAAAAATTATCTCATCTGGACAATACAGTCACATCTCTTTGACTCCTCCCTGGATTCTGATTAGGCAGCAAACCTAAGTGAGGCTGATGTTTTCTGTTTGTAACCTGTTGGGGTCCACAGGGCCCCACACTTAGAAGGGCCTGGTACTTGGTTCAGTGTTCTGATCTCACAGTCATGAAGTTCTTAATCATGTTTGAAGACGGGCCTCATGTTTTCACTTTGCACTGGGTCCCCAAAATTCTGTATATTGCCTGGCAGGAAAAATGTTCTTCGTTACTCAAACATCACCACCATGGACAAAGAAAAGAGGTGCCGATACCAAGGGAATAGTTGGTAGCTTATTGGCAAGAAGAGAGCACAGTGGACATTCCCACCCCTGGGGACATTTGTACCACCTAGCACCTCAACAGTGACTCCACTAGCTGTGAAATTGTCTTGCTTTAGAATACCAAGTTCTTGGCTCCATCCCACATGAGCAAATACATTCTTGGTCATTCTGTAAGACCAGTATGTTAGTAAGGATGACTAGCCTGACTCCAATACATAATTATGAAGATGCTCACAGGGAAAGATGCTTTCTAGAGACTTGGCTACCAAAGCTCAAGAATTCCCTTTTTAAACTGTCTGTTAAGCTTAGAATGCCAGCGGTTTGAATTGTTTGCGTTCTTTCCAAGAACTGCAAACCTATTTAATGTGGAGTAGCAAAGATTACCCAGGAAGGTAAAAGAAAGGATAAATCAAATACTTGTTACATGTAGAAAGAATGGTACTGAGCTAGAGGGCAAACTTAGTTTCTCTCACATCACATGTATACAGAAATAATTCCATGAGATGCTTCAAAGCTAGGGCATGGAAGAAAGCAGATTACTATTTATTACTAGCATCATTGTCATCTGTAATTTAGTATTGGGGTGTATTTTTCTAATTTCCAGTGATTTTAGAATGCACACATTTTTTCCAACTTTTCGAAGGTTTGATTATGCAGTCTTACACAGTATAGCCAAAAGAATTCCCTATAGATAGACTCCCATGAAACCTCATCTTAGTTGTACTGTGGCAGTGAAGATTACTGGAATGCATTTTATGTTTTCTCTATTTTAATCACTTGAGTTAATCAGCTACTGGCAAGTCATATTTGACAGCTTAGCATTGTAAAGAATAGATACTCATGGATTTCTAGAGTTAGTTCACTTTTCAGACACAACGATAGCCTTTTGCTATTCTAAAACACATGCTCATATTAATTATAGCATTTAAAATTCTAAAATTTTAGGAAATTGAAAAATAGAAGTTGCAGAACAATATTCTCTTGGAAATAGTATTTAGCCTTTAAATGGATCATAACTAGTCCTTTAGGTTGTTTGACCAGAGTGGGTCAAGTTTTGGAAACTGGTGCTCCTGGGTGTTGTACATAGTTTTTATTCTGAAAGTTCTTTACCACGTATGTGAGTAACCCAGACAGCTATGTGTCAGACTATAACTTAGTTTTTAAACACATTCAAATGTAGATTCCTCAGTACTTTTGAATTCATTCAGTTGGAAGACATGAAGAATTTTGAAAACATGTAAATGATCTTTGAAAAGTGAGTGCTAGTTTTGAGGGTTGTTTTCGATTGAAAGATTATTTCTAAGTGGGTGTATGCTTTGTTCTAATTTCTGCTACAACGTATTTATCAGTCATTTTAATTAGAGAAGATACTGTCTAATAGAACTAAGGCCCTATCTTTTGGGGGCCAGATTTTCACCCTATTTAACCATTTGTATGTTTCTGACTACTTTCCCCCTGTTCATATTATAGGGGTCTAGATTTAGAGCTGAGCCAGCATGGTAGCTGCAAGCCTTCCTGTGCAGGCCAGCCTGTGGGCTTCATATTGGGCAGTAGAAGGCTAAGGACTCGAATGAATTTGACTTCAAGATGGCCAAACTTTTCAACTGTAATTTTACAAACTACACTACACTGATATAGCCAATTCGATGTAAAATACCTAAAAAATACTTTATTTTATTTAAAGCATCTGTTTAATTCCACTTTTAATCAAATTTTGCAAAGGACGCTATGTGTGTATTTTAATATAGCTTGACCTGAATTTATATGTTTTTAGCTTTAGTATTTAACATTTTGTAACAAATAAACCTTTTTTAAAAAACAAAAAATTAATAAAGTGCTCTGTGGTTATTTCACTGTGGATGTTAAATTGCTGAAATAATTTTGGGAATACTGAGCTTCTCAAGCACAATTAATTTTTTTAATTTTTACAAAAATTTATTAAGAATTTCATACATACATATAAGGTGTTTTGATCAAATTCATGCCCACTCCCTCCCCTCCAACATCCCCCCTCTGAAGAGGTAACCCTAAAATCTTAAGGATTAGATACAAGCTCCCAAATACTTTTGACATTTTTAGAACAGAGTATGTTGCTAACAGGGACATTTTGACTTTTAGCCAAGAAACTGGCTACATTTCTTTGGGGTCCATTATCCTAACGGCCTACATTCCCCTGCCTAGCCAATTCCTATCTCCTATTCTTATCACACCATCCTCTGAAGAGGTTACCCAAATTGCTGATAGGGAATCAGGTGCAGACCGCTCTGGCTTCTTCCATGCTGAACAGGGATGCAGGGTGAGGCAATTGGAGTACCCCTTCAGTGGGTCTATCTAAGAGACCCCAAATTGCATAACTTTTATCTCTAAGGGGAAAATAATGTCCTTCAATCGTGACTAGGAGATGTGAAGAAGAAGTAAAGGCAAGAGTGATTAGATTAAGTAATTGTCTA